TATATATATATATATATATATATATATGTGTGTGTGTGTGTGTGTGTGTGTGTGTGTGTGTGTGTGCGTGTGTGTGTGTGTGTGTGTGTGTGAGTTTGTGAAAGTGTGTGTGTGATATGGGGTCATTTTGTAAACAATGGCGGCTGCTACTAATACAAGGCTCTTCTATTCGAATCGAGTTCTCGCAGCCACTGACCTCTTTTACATAGTAAAAAACGTTAAAATTTCCCTTCCGCTCTGCCGTGCGACGATAGCTTGGGAGGAGAATCTCTGACTGATGCCAAATCGGTCAGGTTTCTGTCCCAGCTTCAAGCAATCGGATGTCTAACCACACCGACGAGCTGTCATTCAGCGAAACAGTCTGTCTGCGGATGACTATATTTATGTTTGTGTGTGTATGCTCATGGGTAAGGATCGTATTGACTGGCGTTTTTTCCTCTTTTTGCTTATGTATGGATGCACTAATTCGACAATGCTCTTATTTTTGACTGATTCTTTTTTAGTGAAATTTTCAATTTTAGTGGCTAGCAGGTTGATAAATGACCCCACATTTAAAATGTATTTAGTTTTTTGCTTCTATCTATTCCTTTGTTTAATGAATTTCTTGATGGTCCTTCCGCCAAACTGTAGGGTGGGGATGATGTATCTTTGATAAGTATCACTTTCATTGGCGTCGCAAAGTTGAACATCTGTTGAATGACATTGTAAAGGACCGTTGGGCGATGGTATGTAAAACACACGAGGGTAAACATTTCCTGCTAGCCGGTCCAACTACATGAGAAAGTTGGACTTTAATTAAGTCCAAAGAAAACCGATAAATATATGTAAACACATATATGTATTAATAAAAAGTTAAAGGTTACAAGTTACATGGACAGAGTGCGTGTGGTGAATATTATGTGTGTCGTGTTGTGGTGAGTGTTCGTACGTACGTGTATTGTTCTTAGCGTGTTCCCAGAATTTGGGAAACGCTGTATCTGTGAGCGTTCACATCTGCGAGGTGGTAAGGCTGAAAGCCTGAGGAAAAAAGGAGGTCGAGGCGAAGGGTCACCCAGTTATTATAACCAGGGGAGAGAGACCCCTGGTGAAGGGTTAAGGAACTAAAGGAGGAGCTAACTACGACAACATTCTGTGCCTGCATCTCTACATGTAATCAATCATAAAGTTTATGCAATTTACATCTTTCTTACTTTTTAATTTCATTTTAAGTCTCTATGACTTTATTTAACTTTAATTCTTTAATTTTGTATTATTATATTATTTGTAAACTATGCCCACCTCTTGTATTTAATCTGATAGTAGTCCCTGCGACTTATACTAAGTTAAAAATTATTTTGTACCATCTCTATATGCCTATGCTACACCCATGGGTATATGAATATACTCCCTACTATCTTGAGGGCAGGATGAGCTTTCTAGTCTTGGTCGACTGCCATCCTAGAGCTGGTAACTTGAACAAAATTACCCCTTGGCGTTCAAGGATAATGCGCAAAAATGTAAAAATCTCAATGATTACATATTTTTTTTATACCGGATCGGCCGTCACCCGGATCAACAAGGGTCGCGTACCTCAGAGGGAAACCAGTCTGAGTCCGAAAAAGAATTGTCACTGGAAGAAACTCTTCCAACAGCGTCAGAACTGGACTATTTCCAAACTTAGAACAAGCGACTCAATGCCAAATCAACTAATAAAGGGAAAGCGAACGAAGTGGCCTTGCGAAGAGTATCAACAAGCCATGTCATGATTTTTCACGGCACTCGAAAATCCGGAAAAGAACATCACGAATCAGACATACCAAATTTGGAGAACTATGGTAGGAAGTGTAATATGGCCTCATCTCAATCCAAACATAATGGATATCGTATGAAAGAGAAAACACTCAAATGCAGAAACAGATAAGGTTAACTAGATATAAGACAGACTACAATAAACCAAGACTGAACCAATAAAGAGTTGAGAGTAGAAATACATTATATGAGAGAGGATGAGTTAAAAAATAAAATAAATGAGATAAGAAATAATCTCCGAGGAAGTAAAACCGAAGAATCTACATATGACGTAACCCGCTGTTATCCAGACGGTAGCACTGAAGATAAGTCCAGCTACATTAGGTTAGAATTCCTGGAAAATAATAGAGGTGAAATCACCGAAGCGAAAACCACGTCATCCAAGTAATCTGCAGAGTAACTCTCACACAAATGCCAGAAAGAGACCAGCTCAGAAAAGTTCAAATGACAAAGTCCAATATGCAGATTGTGTAGATATACAACACCGGGCTGGAAACACTGTTAACGGACAAACCACTTGGAAACCTCACGGAATTTAACAATGTCATATACGGAACAGCTTTAGCAGCTACTAGGAAACTTGGGGTCAAAACAAGGAAAATGAAAATGAAAATGAGAGCCAGCTTAAAAGGCAACACTGATGCGAGAAATAAAGGAAATTATATTCGAGATTTCGATATTAAATGAGATCACAAGAAAGACAAATGTCTCAATATGCAAATGCAAGAAGTCTAAGCGCAAATATAAAATTAAATCACTAAATGATATTCCATCAATCAAGGATATGCCAAAACAGATACTGCAGTTAAAGGCACAAAGGACAACACGATACGATAAACGTTGTAGACTTTATCGCCAAAATAAAATATTCCAAACGGACTTTTAGAAATTTTACAGGGAAATTGGAAAAGCAGCTATACATGCCAAAAAGCCACCGTCTATTGACAATGTGCAGAAATATTGAGAGATTATTTGGAGTCGCCATAAGGAATATGACACCAATGCAGAATTGATCCAACGTCAAGAAGAACGATTGCCGCATAAACCTCTATAAGACTGGGAAAATATAACCACGAATAACTTTAGGCAAACTCTAAAGAAATCCCCAAAATGGAAATCCTCATGAAGTGAGAATGTGCCAAATTTCTGGCTCTAGCATCAGTTATCAAACCATAAAACCTTTGCACAAACTCTATAAATGCTTATAAACAATCCAAATGAAATCGCGGAATGGATTACTGAAGGTATTCCATATATAATGCCAAAAACGAGTAAAACAGATGACATGAAAAATTATAGACCAATAACATGTCGGTCCACCACGCATAAATTGAACACATCTGTGCTGACGAACCGTATTTAATCTTTTCTGGAAACAAACAACATTCTTCCACTGGAAAAGAAGGGATGCAGAAGAGCTTCATATGGTTGCAAAGATGAACTGCTTATAAACAATATGATCCTGGAAAACTGCAGGAGATGATGTAGAAATCTGAGCACATTATGGATAGATGAACGTAAAGCCTTTGATATTATGTCATACTCATGGATACTTAAAACTTAGAAAATGTACAAAATCTCTGACGTGATAGTAAATTTCATTAAACACACTATGGGAATGTGGAGCATCTTATTATATATAAATCACACCAGGGACACTGCCAATATTAGCTGCGTGCATATCCAACGAGGAATCGCTCAAGAAAACTCTTTGTAACTCCTGTTTTGGCTGTTCATATTCCCCTGGTGCATGAACTAATCAACCATAGTTATAGTAAAAAACTAATCAAGAAAGTACTCAATCACTGGACGGATCATCTCAAACTCTTTGCCAAAGACGACAATGAGTTCAAGGATCTCCTCCATATTATAAAATGTTTCAATGGCGACATCAACATGGATTTCGGATTAGATAAATGTGCAAAAGTTACTTTCAAGATAAGCAGCATTAAGGAAATACAGTCAATAGATATAGATTTTGTCACGAAGATTAGGAAACGAGGAGAAGAAACTTATAAGTACCTAGGAATTAACGATGTAGATGGAGTACAGCGCACCCAAATGAAGAAGAACGTAAGAAAGAAGTTCAATAGGCGTGTGAATTTAGTACTAAATACCGAGCTGTCACTGGGGTGCAATAAAAATTCAACATCCATAAAATATACTTGATACATTGTCTCGGGAATTTAAACTCCAGCCCTCCCCCGTAATCAAAATAGATTGAATGTCCCTTAACCTTAAAAACAATTAAGATTTTCTGCGATAATAAATTAAATACATTTCTTTGTATGTTATTTCTAGCATCGCTTGACAATGGAACGTGACTCTGGATTTTAAGTTTAATTTTAGTAATTAAATTTACAATTTTACATTCAGTTTTGGAATATAAAAATTTGTATGTCACGATGGAATCATATTTTAAAAAGAAAATAATTGTAATAATATGTTCTATCGTTTGTATCGAGCACTGTTACATTTAACTAAAAATAATAGCTAAGAACACAGGTTAATAAACGTTAGTGTCTTTTCTTATTATTTTAATATATGTATTTTTGTATATTATATATATATATATATATATATATATGTGTGTGTGTGTGTGTGTGTGTGTGTGTGACACGCACACATGCATATATATATGTGTGTGTATGTGTGTGTGAAACACATGCACATATACATGTGTCTGTGTGTCTGTATACACACACAAACACATGCTAAAATACACTTATGGATAAAATATACACATATCTATATATATATATATATATATATATATATATATATATATATATATATGTATCCATATCTGTGTGTGTATGTATACATACGCACAAACACACTATCCCAGGGATTGAGCACGTTACCATATACATCATCACAAAAGACTCAAATACAGCAAAGTTTTTTAATTAAATTATTCTTATTTTGCCAACTAATATTACACTCCCATTTTTATTAGCAGGTGCTTTGATTACTGTAATACATTTTAACTGTTTGTTCGGCAAAGTGGAATATTTGTGTAGTCGGTTATAAAAAGTTTGCACTAAATAACGCCTAGGCGCATAGCAGGTGCAGAATGAGATTATTATTCAGTTTCTAGAAGGAACAGAATAAGACACGACCCGAAAATGTAACAGTTGCTCTTCAACAGAAATCGCTTCGTTTTCTATCTTTGTCTTTAGATTTATTTTACTTTGTAAACATTTTAAAAGTCAGTGTCACCATCTATCTATCTATCTATCTATCTATCTATCTATCTATCTATCTAAGTACCCATATCTATCTATCTCTCTATTCATCTAAGTACCCATATCTATCTATCTCTCTATTCATCTAAGTACCCATATCTATCTATCTATCTATCTATCTATCTATCTATCTATCTAAGTACCCATATCTATCTATCTATCTCTATTCATCTAAGTACCCATATCTATCTATCTATCTATCTATCTATCTATCTATCTAAGTACCCATATCTATCTATCTCTCTATTCATCTAAGTACCCATATCTATCTATCTATCTATCTATCTATCTATCTATCTAAAGCAGTTCAAATCTCTTTCTCTCTCTCTGTACATGGTTATTTATCTATATATGTATCCTCATGCTCTATATATATATATATATATATATATATATATATATATATATATATATATGGATTTAATATACCGGTTAATGAAATTCGAAGAATAAAAAAGGCAACAGACTGATAACAATATTGTCAACAAGACTGGTGATATTTATTATATAATCGTACGAACTTTGTCGTAACACAACAGATAAACAAATACAGAACGACTTCGGCAAATATGTAACCATACAATAAAGAGTAGCCATGTCAGATGCTAACAATACTAACTAATCAATGTAAGATATTAAATATAATAATTAACACCTGTATATCCATAGAAGATGTATATAATACTAAACAAACATCAATACAAAGCAATATTAAATCAAAATAACTCTTACAAATATGGAAGTAAGCCATAAAGGTGAACCACATTTCCTCTACTGATTATTACTATAAGAAAAAAGTATCAGCAAATTCAAAGTTTAAACATATTGTAAGGTAAATTTTACGCTATGCCTTCAATTTACAGCTAATTCACGTCTTTGTTTCAATAAGTACATTTTACCAGAAAATTTGATAATTTCTAATTTTTGCATGTTAGCATAAGAGACATGGGTCATTTAAAAGTATACATGTTCTACTTCTTTAAAAATTTTCCTTTTTACCTTATGAATTTTATTAGCTTCGTTTAAATTCCAGAAATATTTATAAAGATAAGTACTATTTTTATTAGTACTATTGGTGAAGGATAACATATTTTGATGCCGAGTAGTCACAAGAGAATTGGTAGTACTACGAATCTAAAAGTTTTCAACATTCCGATTCTCTATTGCAGAAATAGTATTTAGATAAACAAGAGTGGCGGGAAAACATTGGTTTCGTAATGGACATTCGTTAGAATTCTTGCAGTTAGATTGGTTACTATTATCAACAGTATTTATCTTGGTATGTGCATTGTTATATAGGAATAAAGTGTCGTTGCCGACACTTGGGTTTGAACATAAATCGCGAGTGAGCAAACACAGCCGGTCCCATTATTGAATTAAGTGGATCACATGACCATAGAAGAAACACATAAGTAGGAAGTGGCATCCAACTGACCACTATTTATATCCGATTCTCTATTACTATTCGGATCTCTATTTCTCCTCTACGACTGTACGAACCTACAGTATTTCTCTGTTTGAATCACTACACAGATGACTATTCGAGCGAGTATTATCGAGCTAGTAGTATTAGTGTGAGTGTTATTCGAAGGCGTCTGACACCAACATTGTTCAATGGCGTTACTATAGTTTTATCTACGATTATGAAAGCTCTACTACAACGAGCATTACAAAAGTGACAACGAGTATTAGTTGACATTACAAAATGAATTATCAACATTTCTTTATAATCTTCTCAAGATTATCACTGCAGGTATAACTTAGTTTTAGTGTGATTCTGTTAAATATTTTACTAAGAGAAATACTTTTAGGGAAATGTTTATCAATTAAATGTTGGAACTTCTGGTCTAACTTAGTACTGACCATTTGCTTAAACGAAGTAGTGACCAAATGATTTTCCTATTCCTTTTCCTCAGATCAATATTATCATATTTTCTATACTAGTACACTAGTGTACTTCTAACCATTATTTTTAAAGTAGTATGATAAACACCACTGTATTTATCAAACATATTTTTGCTAGATGAGTTGTTGATCATCCTACATTCTGTGGATGATGGTATACGTTTAAAATGGAGGTGTATTTTTTTCAAACAGGTTAATTTATTTAGAAATTACGAAATGGGGTCTTTTATTTATCAACTATAACGTTTTATGTCTGAAGCTGAAAGACCATATAAAATTTTAGCATTGTGGTAAATTACCTCCCTACCAATTTTAGCTTTTACTTAATTGGAAAGTTGAGCGTCAGACTTCGATACATCTTATGATATTATGTAGCAACTTGTATCTGTCCATGAGAAAATTGTCTAGGATTTATATGCAGACAACGTCGTGTCATGACACATATTAAAAAAAAAAGTATTTCCTGGTAGGTTTGAATTTAGCGTCGGTTACATTCGATTATTTAATTTCGACAATGCTTACAAGCCTATTTTTCAAAGTATTCTGCTTTAGAAATTAAATTAATCTTTCGTTCGCCAGTGGTTTGACATCGCCGGAGGAGACATATTCGTTGTATTGAAACATGATTGTTATAGTGTAGCGATGTTTTTGTTTAATATCTTAAAATAAATAATATTTACGTGAACTGTGTATTGAGCTCCCTTTTAAATTAAATGTAACGTACAGTGGAATTATACTAATTTTTTTTTATCATTTTACATGGATGTGTATATATATATATATATATATATATATATATATATATATATATATATATATATACCCTTACACCCCTTTTATTTAAACAATTGATTTAGCCGTTACCATTGAAATTTTGATTTCAATAATGAATATGCTATTAAAACACGTAAATTTCAGAACTAAGTTATTCCAAAAAAAAATTTCGCTTGAAAATGGAACAGAGCTTACTTTAATTCAATTTAATTCAAGTAATTATATTGGAGTTTTCGGCTCTTGTTTTTGAAACATGAGAACTCTTATCTAGCGTGTTGGAATCATATTTTTAAATAAATAATTATTTTATGGTCTACTTTTCTATATATTTTTCACACACACACACACACACACATATATATATATATATATATATATATATATATATATATATATATATATATATATATATATATATATATATATATATATATATATATATATATATCAGGGGTGCAAGACGATTCGGCGTCGTCAACTCAACGCCGCCGATTCAACACGCGCAATGAAATGACAGATATTTTTTTCGTCGACTTTTTAAGAACAAATAAAGGTAATTTATTAAGAAATCATTTATCAATGCAAGATATTATTTTTAAAATAAAAAATTTCCTGAAAGTTGTATGCAATTCCTCATAACTATTCAGTTGAACATCGTTGTGAAAAAGAAGAAACAATTTTCAAAATTATTTATTAGATGGAGGGGACATTCGTTTAATTGATCGAAAAATGAATCAGGGTGTTTTGCACATTTTACAACCACTAATGAGTCTTCATATTGCTCCGTCTCCAAATCTGTGTGCAGTCTTCTATTTGCTGTTAACGCATGTTTATTTGTCCGATCTTGAAAATTAAATGTCTGCCTGCTGAATAGGCTTTTGTATCTAAGAATCTTCTAAGACAAACATCCAAATGTTCAAAATTCCGACACAAAGCCGACCATATAAATGTGTGCATTACAGCCTACACCAGTCTGACGCTATAAATTCCGCACCAGTCTTGCGTTGACATCGTGCTGAGTAGGGTGGTAGTAATTTGTCTTGGAGTTGCCTTGTCACAGAAAAGAGTTGGCTGGTGTTAAGTCGGTGGTGTTGAGTCGACGGTGCTGAGTCGGCGGTAATGAAAAATCCCATCCCGATATTTCAGAATTTCATATCTATCTACCTCGGTTTATCCAAACCTCTAAGGATTCGGATATAATAAAAGACATGGCAAATGTGGTATGATCATTCGCATGAATTTGGATCAAATGAATGTTATCGATGGTTAATTAACAGACCAGTCTGTTCCTGTTTACTTAATAACCCAGAAATGGTACTAATCAGTGCAGTTGTCTCATAACAGATATATTTCCAGTCTCGTCTTCGCTTTATTTTCTTGCTTGCCTACCACAATCTGTTCACCGCAAGTCCTACCTTCCTCGCCTCTTTATATCTATCTATCTATCTATCTATCTATCTATCTATCTATCTATCTATCTATCTATCTATCAGCCTCTTATCTATCTATCTATCTATCTATCTATCATCTATCTATCTATAGACGAATCTATCCCAATCTGTTCTATCTATCTATCTATCTATCTATCCATCTATCTATCTATCTATCTATCTATCTATCTATCCCAATCTGTTGATCTATCTATCTATCTATCTATCTATCTATCTATCTATCTATCTATCTATCTATCCCAGCCTCTTATCTATCTATCTATCTATCTATCTATCTATCTATCTATCTATCTATAGACGAATCTATCCCAATCTGTTCAGATCTATCTATCTATCTATCTATCTATCTATCTATCTATCTATCTATCTATCCCAATCTGTTCAGATCTATCTATCTATCTATCTATCTATCTATCTATCTATCTATCTATCTATCTATCTGTCTGTTCATATCTATTTATTCTATCTATTTATATGTTTGTCTATATTTAAGTCTGGCTATCTTTGTTGGTAACTACCAATCACTTTTCATATCTATCTATCTATCGATCTATCTATCTATCTCGCTAGCTAGCTAGCTAGCTGTCTGTCTGTCATGTTTGTAACGTGTAATAAGAACACGACACTAAATCTTTCATACATTAAGTCATTGTTATTCATTGTAAACATCACCTCTTTCTGATTTCATGTCACGATGAGCGTGGGTGGATTTGCGGACTTTCTCAACCCTTTGCCACTGTAAATTTTGATGCTTATAGAACTATTTTACATGCAACCGACACGCTTGTGCAACTGCTCATGCTCTATTCGGACAACCTATCATATATGCTATCTTCCAGGCTTTCCTTCCAAGTCGCCTCTCACTCTTGATGCTCAACTGTGAGATTAAGGGCAAAGACATTTTTAACGTATCTTAATCTGATCCCAGTATATACTCATCCCACTACAGATCAAATGTTCTAAAATCAACGGCTCCTTATTGACGTTAAATTCGATGCTGTCTCCGGCACTTATTGGCATGAATCATATAATAGAATTTGATTCTGTGCGTGTAAACCTTTGGTGTTCATCAAGTTGTTGTCAGATGTTCCTGAATTCGCATGTTTCTTTTTCCTTTTTTTCTTTTTTTGCATTGTATATTCTTGCAAAGATTGACAGCGAAAAAGGTTACATTTGCCATTTTGTTGACAGAGAATCCCATGCTTTTGACAGTTTCCGCAGTCTTTCGTAAATTCTATTCTTGTCACGTGCGTTGTTTATGTTTGATTTTGTCGCAGGCAGAATAAAGTCGGCTCAGTTGAACACACTCTGTGACAAAAAAGAGCACTATGACACAATTCACTCCACCAGAAACTTCGAAAAGGCATACTGTACTGCTTCGAATTCGCACCGTATGCTTCAGTATGAATATTCCAGAGTGTTTGGTTGTCAATCTGAGGATTGTGCTGAGGATTCGGAGAGAGTTAGATGAGTCTAATGATGATTACGAAGTCACGGCAGCTTCCAACTCACTCTGATCGTTCTTATAAGAAAAAAATATCGAATTTTTATTGAGAGCCACAGGCTCAATACGAGGGCCTACATAAATGATTTGAGTCGGTAATACCGGGAGTCAAGATAGTTACTACTGGAAGACCCTATGTCTTCTAACAGGACTCTCAACCATGACTCACAGAAAGGCGAATCTAGTCATTTCTGTGACCACATCTAACTTTCTAATTTGGCTATCTAACTCCCCAGACTGCAAGCCCTTTGGATATTATGTGTAAGGCGTAGTTGAGAGTGAGACCAACAAAACTCCTTGTGACAACAAAGATAAACTGAAGGTAAGGAGTATGGCAGCATTCACCATCTTAAACAAGGAGACCACCCAGAAGAGTTGCAGGAGATTCCGAAGTCGTCTGGAAGTCATAGTTGAATCTAATACCGATTTTATTGAAAGCATTTCCTTTTTCGTATTTCAATATATTTTTGTGTAATTTTGGTAAATATATCTGTTAAAATAAGATGTCAGTCTTATTTTCATTTTTGCGTAATTTAGACGATAATTTATCCATCGGTCCATAAGTTTCAAATTAAAAAGATAATAATGTTTTTTATGAAAGCATTCATTTATCTATATATATATATATATATATATATATATATATGTATATATTTCAGATTTCAGATTGACCTCAATCTTCCTACAGAAATAACTGTTTGTTTAAAAGTAGCGTCCGTCGCGAGATCCGGACGTCACGTGATATGGAAAGCCAACGTGTTCGAATATTCTTAACGTCAATCTAACTGTGATAATATTTCAGATGTTGTTTAAAAAAATAATTAACTATATCTAAAAAAATGTTTAACTATTAAAATATTTATAACGATTTAAAATACCCAAGTTTTTATTTAACCCTAGTTTATATGTATTTAATTTTAAAATCCAGTATTTTTCTTTTTTTCTGCGTGTGTATGTGGAACTGAAATCAGAATCTATCAATAAACATTTACAGTTTTCTAATGAGTGTCCTTTTTTATTAAAGTGTTCAGCTATGGGGGATAAGGATTGTTTTGACTTTTTTTAATGGATAGCGGCTGGGAATCGTAGATCCAAGTTCGAATTCCAGTCGGATCCATTGCATTCATGTAAGTGTCTGTACTGAGTTTTATAGCCTTGGGTGGCAACAGTTTTATGAGAAAGTAAGATGAATTCAAAACTGTATGTAGCCCTGGCGTAGTACATATTATAGAGCAACATTCGAGTGGCTCAGTTATGTCGACTACGGTCGGATAATGATATTACATATCAGTCCAGTTCTCGTTTCTATGTTTTTAACGACATTTTCTTTTGCCTTCCTTTGTTTAGCTTTTGGAAGGAATATCTCGTAATTCCAATACACCTTTTGATTTCAGTGTCGCTCTTTCTATCCTCTGTTAGGGATTTATAGAGAGCCATGATAATAGGCTGAAGACTGATGTAAAATTCCTTTTCTCTAATTCTATGACCATTTTTCATTCCGAGATTTCGGGTGTCACGTTGTTATACTCGAAACATTTAAAGGAACGCATTATCTTCCACGTTAGACATTGTTTGATCACGAACCATTTAGGCTATCTGACAAGCGACTCTCTCTTAAATTACATTCGCATTCAATACAGAGAATTCCAAATATCTATTTAGCGTTATGTAGTTTAGTATATGAGAGCAGAAGCTGCATCAATTTAATACCCTGAAACAGTAACAGTGGTCCAACCTGGACCCGTGACGTCGGTAGTTCGACACACTAGGACTGAAAACGAACAGCGTAGCCCAATAAGACATGGTTGAGGTTATAGTTCAGACTTCATGCCGACAGTGTTGCTATCAATACTGGTGTTGGTTCCATCATGCTGTGGTTTATGTTCACGTGAAATTGGTTAGGTTCTCTGATCCACTTGAACAACTCATTAATTTATATAAAAAGAGACGCTATGCTAAACTGCTTTATGGACATCTGCATTCATTCGTGGACTCCATTTTACCAGCAACGATGGATAATGCACAGTGGTGGCTCAGTCGTTATCCAGAATAGGTTTTAGAAGCACCCATGAGTATTCGGAAGAGTGGCGCGGCCAAACACGTACATTAGACAAGAAGCTAATCGAACATTTATTCGAGAGAGTTATGCGTAAGATAATACAAGATTACGCACTGAGAAATATTAAAGAGCCATGAACCGCAGTCCTGGTTCAAAATGTGTCCAAATTATGCTTTTGAGGCGAATAGTACTCAATAATTCCCAATAGGATTTGAGATATAGAGAATGTTTCTCATATTTTATTATTATTGATGTTATTATTCATAGAAACGTGTAGTAATTTTCTGGGGTCCATACATATCGCGATGGGATAAGACGTGTTGATTATTAAGTTATATTTATAAATAGTTTAAAGCCGCAAACGTTGCGGAGGGCTTTCAGGAAAAAAAATATTAAAGGAACGTCTGTTCCAGCTTACAAAACAACAATGATAATTATGAAGAAATAACTCTTATCTTGAGTTCGGTTTCGTACAGTGAAAGATATCGTCCTATTTTTTCTCTCCTCTCTTTCTTTCACACACACACACACACACACACATATATATATATATATATATATATATGTTTTTTAACTGATGTTTCCAAAAAAATATGTAAATTTTTCGTTAAATTAAAAATAACCATGTTTCAAAAATTGAGGAAAAAATATTTTTTCAAACTGAGTTTTAAATGCAAGGGAAATTTAATGTTGATACAGAGAAATTAAATCCAAAAACATTAGTTCCTTTTTAAATTTCATCCTCAAATATAATTTTGGATATAAATATATTTTATATATTTATATATAGTTTTTAAATGCATATGTATAATATATATGTATAATCAGTTTTAAAATATGTTACCAAGGATACATATAAATATATATCATCCAGAAAAGGGGTAGTGTGTTTAATTGTTTTTTTTAAACTATACATGCATTTTTTTTTTATATATCTATAATGTTATTTATATATTTCTTATATATATATATATATATATATATATATATATATATATATATATATATATATAGTATGAAATTATAAACAATATATATATATATACATTATATGATAATATATACGCTGTTAAATTATATAAAATATATATTATATATTTATATAAACAACTAGACATGCTTAAAATCTGCTGTTCTATTCTATTTTAATACTTTTTCGTGCGGATTTTTTAAGCTAACTCCGGTGGAGGCCCAATTGAATCTCCGGCCCAATACTAAAGGAACACTTGGTCTATCTTAGAAAACAGCAATAATATTTTTGAAGAAAAAACTTTGCGCAGGTGAACGAGAAACCAACCAAACTCCTTGTAATACCAAAGATGAAGTGAAGGAAATGAATAAGACAGCATTCACCGCCTTAAACACGAGATCGTCCAGAAATGAGAAAGGAATTTCCGTAGCTATCTGAAGAATCTAGTTGAATTCAATGACGATTCTATTGATACGCCTTAGTATTCCTTGATATTTTTTTTCGTAATTTTGGTAAATATATCTCTTAAATTGTGATGTCAGTCTTCCGTAATTTAGACAATTTATCCATCAAACGCTGTACATGTTCAGACGTTTTCATACAACTCAATGAATTGAAGCCACATTGAGTCGCTTCAGTTTCCCGGGCTAGAGGAGGATCTACTCGCTCCTTAACCTGTGACTTTTTTCACGTTTGTGTATGCGTAACTTAAAGGAACTTTTTGCGAGATGATGATTATTACTGCGACTTACATTTGTTACAAGCGATAAGAGTAGATTCACGGGATCGAATTTCATAGTTTGCTGCCGATTTTTTTAGATGAATATAATGCAATTCTTTCTGAAATATGAGTAATTATTTAATGCAACCTCCACGCCCAATTCGGCAGATGAACATCTAGAAATGTCCTTACATTATGAAGATTTGGATAATCTTTGTTGATGACATGGACTAATGTAGGAATGAAGCATTCTTAATGGAAACCTTTCAAAACGCAATGTTTTTTAATGTCCATCTGGGAAGCTACAAGAGCACCTTAAGAAAC